CACTTAGTGATAAAGTAAAACATTACATCGCGATTGCATTGCATACAATAAAGCGACAACCATATGGCTCCTGCCAGTTGCCGATAACTCGGTTACAAAACATGATCATCTCATACAATAAAATTCAGCATCATGTCTTGACCATATCACATCACAACATGCCCTGCAAAAACAAGTTAGACGTCCTCTACTTTGTTGTTGCAAGTTTTACGTGGCTGCTATGGGCTTAAGCAAGAACCAATCTCACCTACGCATCAAAACCACAACGATAGTTTGTCAATTTGACTCTGTTTTAACCTTCGCAAGGACCGGGCGTAGTCACACTCGGTTCAACTAAAGTTGGAGAAACAGTCACCCGCAAGCCACCTATGTGCAAAGCACGTCGGGGAAACCGGTCTCGCGTAAGCGTACGCGTAATGTCGGTCCGGGCCGCTTCATCCAACAATACCGCCCGAACCAAAGTATGACATGCTGGTAGGCAGAATGACTTATATCGCCCACAACTCACTTGTGTTCTACTCGTGCATATAACATCAAACCATAAAACCTAGGCTCGGATGCCACTGTTGGGTTTCGTAGTAATTTCAAAAAAATTCTACGCACACACAAGATCATGGTGATGCATAGCAACGAGAGGGGAGAGTGTTATCTACGTACCCTCGTAGATCGCAACGGAAGCGTTGACGCAACGTAGAGGAAGTAGTCGTACGTCTTCCCGATCCGACCGATCCAAGCACCATTACTCCGGCACCTCCGAGTTCTTAGCACATGTACAACTCGATGACGCTCCCCGGGCTACGATCCAGCAAAGCTTTGGGGATGAGTTCCGTCAGCACAACAGCGTGGTGACGATGATGAGGTTCTACCGACGCAGGGCTTCGCCTAAGCACTACAACGGTATGATCGAGGTGGAATATGGTGGCAGGGGGCACCGCACATGGCTAAGGAACGATCACGTGGATCAACTTGTGTGTCTAGAGGTGCCCCCCTGTCCCCGTATATAAAGGATCCCGGGGGGGTGCGGCCGGCCCTATGGTGGCGCGTAGGAGGAGTCCTACTCCTACCGGGAGTAGGACTCCCCCCCCCCAAACCTTGTCCAACTAGGAGAGGTGGAGGGAGAATAGGAAAGGGGGGGCGCCGCCCCTCCCTCCTTGTCCAATTCGGACTAGGGGGAGAGGGGGCGCGCGGCCTGCCCTGGCAGCCCCTTCCTCTTCTCCACATTAGGCCCATGAGGCCCATTAACCCCCCGGGGGGTTCCGGTAACCCCCCGGTGCTCCGGTTTTATCCGATACTCTTCCGGAACCCTTTCGGTGTCCGAATATAGTCGTCCAATATATCAATCTTTATGTCTTGACCATTTCGAGACTCCTCGTCATGTCCGTGATCACATCCGGGACTCCGAACTAACTTCGGTACTTCAAAATGTATAAACTCATAATAACTGTCATCGTAACGTTAAGTGTGCGGACCCTACGGTTCGAGAAAAATGTAGACATGACTGAGACATATCTCCGGTCAATAACCAATAACGGGACCTGGATGCCTATATTGGCTCCTACATATTCTACGAAGATCTTTATCGGTCAGACCGCATAACAATATACGTTGTTCCCTTTGTCATCGGTATGTTACTTGCCCGAGATTCGATCGTCGGTATCCAATACCTAGTTCAATCTCGTTACCGGCAAGTCTCTTTACTCGTTCCGTAATACATCATCTCGCAACTAACCCATTAGTTGTAATACTTGCAAGGCTTATGTGATGTGCATTACCGAGAGGGCCCAGAGATACCTCTCCGACAATCGGAGTGACAAATCCTAATCTCGAAATATGCCAACCCAACATCTACCTTTGGAGACACCTGTAGAGCTCCTTTATAATCACCCATTTACGTTGTGACGTTTGGTAGCACACAAAGTGTTCCTCCGGCAAACGGGAGTTGCATAATCTCATAGTCATAGGAACATGTATAAGTCATGAAGAAAGCAATAGCAACATACTAAACGATCAGGTGCTAAGCTAATGAAATGGGTCATGTCAATCAAATCATTCAACTAATGATGTGACCTCGTTAATCAAATAACAACTTTTTGTTCATGGTTAGGAAACATAACCATCTTTGATTAACGAGCTAGTCAAGTAGAGGCATACTAGTGACACTCTGTTTGTCTATGTATTCACACATGTATTATGTTTCCGGTTAATACAATTCTGGCATGAATAATAAACATTTATCATGATATAAGGAAATAAATAATAACTTTATTATTGCCTCTAGGGCATATTTCCTTCAATCGTCGCTATCGAGGACCACGATGACGTGCTCGTCCTCGCGCCCACGCTTGCGGGCATCGATCTCCTCCAGGGCCCGGGTCTGCCGGGTCATCTCCGTTCGGAGGTAGTCGTCGCGTGCCCACCGCAGGGCGTCCTCGTCGGAGAAGCCCCGCCGTGCTATCTCCTCGTACTCCGTGGGGAGGCCGGGCTCCGGCTTGGGCTCGACGAGGACGAAGCGGCCAGTGGGGGGCGGAGTCGCCGATGCGGACGCCGGAGCTACGGGTGCACGCGCTGACAGGCGTGTCCTGGGGCTCCGGCTTGACGGGGCGGAGGCAGGGAGAGCCCGACGAGCGGCCGGACGAGGAAGAGGACGCCCCGGGCCGCTCCATGCGCCTCGGCGTCCAGGAGCTTCCACGGCGGCGTGAGAAGGACGGGGGAGCGGGGTACTCGAGGCGCGGCGTGTTGCCGCACTCGATGTACTCGAGGACAGCCTCCAACGTGCGGCCGGGCACGCCCCACCACCGGCGCCGGCCCTCGGAGTTGAGCCTGCCGGAGGGCATGACACCGTTGGTGGCCTCGAGCTGCTCGGCGTGACGGCGGCGGAAGTAGGGCTCCCAGAGCGGGCTGTCGGGGACGTATCATGGCCCCTCCCTCACCGCCCGCGGCAGGGACGCGCGGATACATGCGATCTCCGCACGCCGCGCCGCCTCGGTGGGTGGTGGTGGCACCGGCACACCGCCGACGCTGATCCTCCAAGCCCCGGGCACCCGCATGTCCGATGGGACCGGGTACTCGGCATCGAAAAGGAGGCGAGCCTCGTCCTCGTGAAGATGGCGGCGCCCGAAGCCATTCGCCGCCGCGCCGTCGCCTAGAAAGCGCTCGGCCATTCTTCTGAACTGGAGACGGCGAGAGTAGAAAGGGGGGAGAAATGGGCGCGTCGGCGGTGGAGTATCTGTGCGTGTCTCCGGCGCGCTGGTGGTCGGCTTTATATAGGCGGAGGCGCCGTGTGGTAGGCTTGGCCGGCGCGTTACGCGTGGCCTGATGTCGTGGCGGCCGAGGGGACGCGCGTCGCCCGGCCTTCACTGCGCCGCCCGTGAGGCATCAATGGAGGCTAACCGGCGTGGCAGCGCGCGCAGCGCGCAGCTTTGGCATTGATTCACCGCGAAAAACGAGGCGATGAAGCGGCGAGAAGGGAGTCGAGTCGCTGACGCGGCTGGCCCGCGGCTCTTCGCGCAAAAGACGATTCGCCCGGCGCCGCCGAGCGACCCCCAGCGCGTCGGGTTCGGATTGGGTCCGCCGGCGCCAATTTCGGTCCGAGCCGGCGAAAACTGAGCTCTTAGGGACGCGACTGGGCCGATTTTTTAGCGCCGGCGGCCGAAAAATCGCCTAAGGGCCTTCTTGAAGGCGCGGCTCGAGATGCTCTTAGTGGCAAGCACCGAATACAGACGCCACGTTCCGGATTCAGGTAGTAGCATCCCTTGCGAGAAGCCAAGCAATCGAGCATGTTGGCATGTCCGGCGCCGGCGCACTTTTGCTTGGCTTGCAAGCCGCGCTGCAGCTCATCTTGCCAGCGCCGGTCGGTGCCGGCGGTGTTTTGCTTGTGCGGGCAAGAAAACGGGCGAGGCCGTGCTCGCGTCTTAACGCAGATCAAGACGGCACATGGGGGTTTTGGTTGGCCTGGCCAGTTGGGTCCGGGAAGCTTCCCATGCATGGCAAGATAACTAGTCTAGCATCTGGGAATCGGCGAAGCGAGCTTGCTAATTAACCCTGCACTCGTGGGGACGCATCGACCGATGGTCAAAATATTCTAGAACGAGATAGCAACAACATGCACGATTGTGATTCAAAATGTATTTTTGTTTCAAGCGCGTACAGTGCAGGCAAGATTTACTAACTGGCCAAATGTAGTCGGTCAAACCGACGGTCTGCGCGCACCGTCGGGTCTCCGATCTGCCGCTTGCGAAGGTTTTGGGGCGGCGCGGCGACGTGGTCATCCGAAGGTTAACCAACCGCGCCCTGCCCCTGTGGTTAATCAATCAACAAACGTGTTCAACGGGTCAAATTGGTGGCAGAGTACTGCTTAATTACGTCCGTGCGTTGGAATTGGAAAACCACTGCTTCCAGAATCGATGGCGACGATATTGCCTGGACAAGTGTAGATCGACGAGGTTGATATAAGTCATTATCTATGTGGCCAGAGAATCACAACACCAGGTCACCCTATCACCCATCACTTTCTCCAAATGGCACACTGCTTAATTAACCAAGCCGTCCAAACACCCTTAGCAGCCACCTCCAACAAAAAAAGGTACGCTTAGCAGCCTTGGCACACGACACACATCCCACAAGTCAAGCCGATCCGACGTCGCAAGGATGTTGACACCACGACGCCACATCAAGATCAAGACCCCGACCCAAAAATGGCCGAGAGTGAAAACGTGAAGCCAAAGACTCGTTCCACGGCAGCTTCGCCTCCCTTGCCTTCCCGGCAAAGCAACACGAAACCCACAACGCTTCACCGCTTGCGTTTGCGTACACGACCCAGAGAAAAATAATCACACCTCGCCGTCGCACATGCCGCACGCAAGGCTCTATATAAACAGCAACCCAGCAGCCAAAAGCCACCACCGAATCATCGATACACAGGAGCGACCTCATCATCTGACACACACGCATCTTATTAGCCATCCACTTTGATTGACTGATCCACCGATCCCTCGCCGCCGATGACCATGGAGGAGGCGCTCATCTCGCCGGAGCTGCGCGACGTGCTGGCCAAGGTGGCGGTGTTCCTGCTCGTGCAGGGGCTGGTGTACCTCATCCTCACCAACTCCTCCGACGTCTTCTCCAAGAACAAGAGGCTCCGGTCCCTCAGCTTCCGGCCCATGCGGTCCATGAGCGTGCGCCGCGTCCTGGCGCCGCTCTCCGACGTCCCCGTCGGCACCGACGACGACTCGCCCTCGCCGTCGCTGTCTTCGTCTTCGTCGTGGTCGTCGCGCCGCTGGGGTAAGCGCCACGAGGATTGAGCAGCTTGGAGGTTGGAGCGGTTCTGACGCCAATAGCCTGGTGATGAACTGCCGTGGGTTTGAGATTTCAGAATGGTATTTGTTGAAGTCTCATGTGAGCTAGATTTAGATGGGGTCTTGTACATATGTTCATTGATTTGAATTGGGAGGATGAACAAGTATTTGAAAAATGTTGAAGAAGGGTTTTGAAAAATGTTGAACAAGTATATGAGAAAATGTTGACCATGTATATATGACATTTAAATGTTATCATCATACTATTATGTTTACGGCCCGACTAAATGATACTAAAACCCGATTATTTTCTAACGAAAATACAGTAATTAATATGTATTCGCTCATTTCATTATTTGTAAATAAACTATTTTTATTGGATGATATGAAAATGTTATTAAAATTAAAATATATTAAAAAGTTTTAATTGTATCTTATTAAATTATGTTATGATCGTGTTATTATGTTTAGAGTCGACATTGCCACGGCATGATTCATATCTGCCACTACATTGCTCTCCTTCGGTGCATCTTCGTAGTGGCAGACATCCCAGGAACATGGCACGGGCTTGGATTTAATGCCCGAGCAGACTCGTTTTTTGGACCCAAATGCATACAGAGGACATGGCGCATACACCCAAAGTGAGAGATCTCAGACGTATCTCTCCACGCGAGGATCTAGATGCCCAAGGAGACTCGTTTGCCAAAGATAAACCAGTACGGCGTACAATGGCTATACACTGGAGGCGATGGATCTCAGCGGGTACTCATGTTTGCATTTTTTATACATTTGCAATGATATCATATATTATCCTCACGGTTTATTTTCGTAACAATTTTCTTACTAGTACGGCGGACAATGGCCATACACTGGAGGCGAGGGATCACAATGCTACGACACCGCTCAAGTATGTTTAACCATAATAAGTAATTACTCGCATACAACATTTTCATGCCTCATATTTAAATATGGTTTTTCTGTGCAGGAAAGTACTAATCATACATGGCACGATGAGGACACCCAGCGTGGCCTCAATACAGACATCCTCATAGCATCCCATGATCGTGGTAACACGGTTCCTAGAATAATTACAGACTACTTCCATGAGAATGTTATTGGCCTATCTTATATCCCTCCGGAGTCACAATCAAACACCTACAATTTCGCATCAGGATCTCAATATGGATTGCAGACTCCAGCACCTATGCAGGAGTCACGGACACAAGAAGACGAGGGGAGTACGGCCGTGGTCTTCATGCACACCGACCACCTAATCCCTTGTCGCCTTTCGGTCGTCAGGAAAGACCAGCTGGCCGTTGTCGAGTAGGGTGATTCGTCTATTTATGGGTGCAACCTATTCTATCTATATATGACAGTTCTAGACTTTCCGATATATATGTAAAAGACATCTATGTATGAGAAAATAAAAAAGCATCCAAATTATGACATTAAAGTAGTGCATCTCTAATAAATATACAACACAATGTTGATGCATCGTCATACAGAAACTACATGAAGTCATCCTCACTATTCTCTCTAAAATGGGGCTTCCCCAGGTCTTCACGATTGCGTCACCTGAACTTTTTCAAATTTATCATTCGCGAACATTTTTTAAATTCGTGAACAAATATTTTTCAAATTAATCGTTCATGAACTTTTTCAAATTTATTGTTCGCAAACATTTTCAAAATTTTCATTCGTAGACATTTATTAAAAGTCACGAATCACAAATATTTTTAATAAATATTTTTTATTTAACATTCGCGAACTTTTTTCAAAGTCGTGAATCACAATTTTTTTAAATGTTCACAACTTAAAAAGAATGTTCGCGAATCACAAATATTTTTCAAATTTATCGTTCTCAATTTTTTTAAAGTCGTGGACAAATAGTTTTTCAAATTAACCATTCACCACATTTTCAAATTTATCGTTCACAAGCATTTTCAAAATTTTTTAAAGTCACGAATCATAAATATTTTTAACAAATATTATTTTATTTATTGTTCGCAAACTTTTTATCAAGTTGTGAATCACAATTTTTTTAATGTTCACAGCTTTAAAAAAATGTTCCTGAATCAAAAATATTTTTCAAATTTATCATTCTCGACCTTTTTTTTAATGCCGTGAATAAATAGTTTTCAAATTAATCATTCACGAACATTTTTAAATTTATCATTCAAAAACATTTTCAAATTTTTCGTCCCTGGACACTTTTTTAAAGTCACTAATCACAAATATTTTTAATTTATCGTTCACGAACATTTTTTAATGTCGCGGATCACAAATATATTTTTTGAAACCTTCGCGAACATTTTTTTTAAAGTCGTGAACAAATAGTTTTCAAATTTATCGTTCACGAACATTTTTTTTAAAGTCACGAATCACATATAGTTTTAAAGTCGTGAACAAATTTATCGCGCTTGACCGTTAGAGGGAGAAAACCGGGCAGCTGGCCGGTTCAGGTGACCTGTGTGACCTATCTGCACCCGTAATGCAAGTTCTATGACGGGTTTTTCCGATTTGCAAGTACTGTGACTTAAGTGCACCCGCAGAGCAAGTTCTCGGACCGCCGGTGCCATTTACTCACATCTCTTGCTATTTGGTGTATTGAGTATTGACATCACTGTTGTTCTCCCATTTCTAAAAACTGCACCCTCCGTGCTGCAGCATGAAGAAAGATTAGCACAGCGTGATGCGATGGAGGTGATGTTAAACTACTCTGGGACATGGACAAATACATGCTTTGGAACTCCGGCAAGGCTGGGAGAGATGGAGAAGGGGAAACAAATTAGAATGGCCATCTGAAGCAAGACTCTTGAGCACAATGCTGTCAGAGAGAGGGAACAAAACGAGCACACCTGGGCACAGAACGCAGGGCCCTGGTGGCACGCGTCGGAGGAGTCCTAGAGCGGGGACAGCATACTGGGAGATGACCGACGAGGTCGAGCTGGTGGCGGTGAGAGGAGGAACCTGTGAAGAGGTTAATCATCCCCCATGCCACTCAAGTACAGCTGTAAGCAGCAGAGGCACAACAGACCGTACCAGAGACGGAGACGCCCGAGCAGCTTGTACGGATTGGAGAGCTGGAGAAGCCATATACAGTGGAGCAGGGTAGGGGCGGTTTGACCTTTTGGCATCGGTTTTGACTCTTGAGAGCCATTTAGCTCATATGCTTGCTAGAGCATTTTATCAGTGCTGAAGCACCATGCGTCATTTGGGATATTGCCAAAACCTTGAGAATATCATTCCAGGCAAAGGGCAACTATGATGGGGGACGCGAATTTGATGAACATGGGTGCGTGCGCGCACATCCTTTATGAATAGTAAATTCAAAAAATACTAGAAAAAATATAAAAAATCTATTTTTTTAACATACATAATCAATCGGTATACTCGCATATGAAGTTTCACGAAGAAATCGCATATGTGGTAAATCTGGGCAAAAATGACAAAATCGAAGCTATATTAAAAAACATTGTTTAATGAATAGTATGGTCGCATTTGTATTTTCTTCATTAAGAATACCATGAGTGTCAATGCATCATAAAACTTCACACGTGAGTAGAATGATCGACTAAGCTTCTTACCATGAAATTTTAGATTTTTTATATTTTTTCTAGGATTTTTTTTATGAATTTACTATTCACGTGAGATGCGCGCACACCATATCCATCATTGTATTTTCGCTAAGATAAGGCACTTTATCATTTCTCCTAATTAAGTACAAGCAGGTCATCGTGCAGCTAGCCATTGTAATTGAGGTGTGACCAACATGGGTCTCGTTCCCGCCTGGTGCAACTAGCCATTTGCACTGCCGTGCAATCAATTCTCATCAACGCACCTAACGTTTCAATGCGTGAGGCTGCCATGTTGGCCATTTACTAGGGGCACAGAGGCGATATGAGCAATATACCGGCTGGTGTACGTTGACCAGGAAATGTTATACGGCAATGATGTATTGTAGTAGTACGAATCATCGTGAGGACGAGTGGTGCTGATAACGACCTCGCGTGGCTGCATGTACACACGCGAATTATCGCTAGATAAATGGCTATAAAAAGATGCAGAATACAACATGCTAGGGGTGGTTTTATAGAGTTGTCAAGGCAAGAGATAAGGCGGGAAAGAAATGCCGGGAAGAACTTTGGTAGGAAAAATTAGCGGGATGAATTTATGGCGTGAAAAAAATGGCGGGAGGAAAATGTCACATTTTATTTCAAAGATACATATTTTGATTACGACACGGTACAACTGAAAATAAGATACATTGGACTATTGAAATAAAGTTATATTGAACTACTGAAGTAAAGCTATAATAAACTGTTGAAATTAAGATACAAACAATTACGAAATTTAAAATACTACCGCAAAAATCTACTGAGTCCAGCATAGATAGTTTTCTTTTCCATTGTCAGCTTCTTCTGCTGCCTTGGCATCACGAGTCCTTTCTTTCTTTCTCTATCTCTACGCCTCACGGGCCTCTTTCGCTGTCGTTCCTGCTCCTCCATGCGACGAGTCTTTTCCATGTTTTTCTTCCCTAAATCCTGAAAGAAACACTTTTGCTCGGCATAGTATTCTCTCTCTCTCTCTCTCTCTCTCTCTCTCTCTCTACTGCCTCCTTTCCGTGTCGCTTTTCCGCGTAGAAACTATCCCATGCACGGCGACTTCTTTCACGAATCTCAGTCAATGCCTAAGCCGGCATCTCCATGTCAATTTAACGATAATACATGCACAGAGGCGGAGGAGACTATAACAAAAGTAAGAATGTTAATAAGGAATCAACCAAAGAGACCAACTTGATGTCTATTCATGATGGTTGAAGCATACTGGAGGCTTGTTCTATGATGAACTAGCTATGGATGGATCTTCCTCATAATTGGTGCACATGAGAAACTTCATGCCCAACCAATCTGGAAAATCCGACAGCTTCTTCACCTTGCAAAGATCGCCATACCAATACCGCAGGACTGCTACCCTCGGAGGCAAACTCGCATTCTTCATTTTCCTCGGCCTAATGCTTTGATCCGAGTAAAGCAAACTCACAGTGGCGATTTTGAGGGTGGCTGGATGATGAAAGAAGAGAGGTTCAATGCCTTGTTTTATAGGTTCAGATGACAAATATGATGGCGGGAAAATAAGGCGCTAATAGATGAAATTTAAGATGAAAAATACGCGTGATCCAAAACACTGCAATTAGTGTTGGCAGAAACGGCAAATGCCACCAACCGATAGCCTGCGATGGTGTCGCGTCGCACGCTGCACCAACAGTGCTGCCACCTCGTCCGGTGGCGGCAGGGCCCACCGGTAGGGCTCCGTTCCGTCGCGCCGCTGGAATCATGTGATCTGCAGCCTGCCGCATGGCCGGCTGGCGGCAGGGGCTGCCGCCTCGCGCCGTGGCGGCAGGTGCCACGTGTCGGCTGGCACGCGTGCCGCCATGGCCTGGCTGATCCTTTTCAACAATGTGTCTCAGAGATGATTTTTTTTTTTGTGTCAATTCAGTTGATGAGGTGGTCCTTCCGGACAAAAATTTGAGGATCACCTGGATCATCTGGCTTCACCGTTTCTGAGGGCATCTCCCACGAGAAACCAAGCAAGCAACCACGTTGGGGTGTGTGGCACTGGCTGCCGGCGCCGGCGCACGTTTGCTTGGCTCGCAAGCCGCGTCAGGGAAAACCTTTACTATCTAGCTGGCGCGCGCTGCCTATCTTGCCAGCGCCGGTCGGTGCCGGTGATGTTTTGCTTGCGCTGCGCGGGCAAGAAAACGAGGGCGGGCGGTGCCCTTCGTCCCACAGCGATCAAGCCGGCACATGGGAGCGCTGGCCGGGTCCCGGCCGGAAGGTTCCCATGGCACTATGGCAGAGCCACAGCAGCATCTGGGAATCGGCGAGGCGAGATGGCAATCCCGTATAACTAACCTTGGGGTTGGGATGCATCGACCGATGGTCAAAACACACATATTCTAGAAAGAGATGCTAACAGCTTGCAGGACTGTCTCCGTACGAGGCACTCAAAATACTTGTCATCAAAATGGATAAAAAATGATGTATCTAGAACTAAAATACATTTGGATACATCCTCTTTTGTTCATTTTGATGACAAGTATTTCCAGACGGAGGGAGTACGTACTCCTACTACTTAGCGCGTACAGGGAAGATTAGCCACATGACATGTAGCTGGTCAAACCGAAGATATGGGCGCGGCGACATGGTCATTTTTCGAAGCTTTACCAACCACGCCCCTGGCCCTGTGGTTAATTAATAACCAACAAAACGTGTTCAGCGAATTAAACTGGCACGCAGAGTGCTCCCTAATCACGTACGTCTGCGTGCTGGAAACCACCGCTTCCAGAATACGTACGTTCTGATGAGATTTCTCGGACAAGTGTAGACCGATGAGATAAGTCGTTCTCCATCTGTCTCGAGAATCACAACGCCACGTCACTCACTCATCTCTTTCCCCCGAGCCGGCCAAGTAATCTCAGCAGCCTTCACACGAGTGCACGACACACGTCCCCCAAGCCGGTCAAACCATCCCAGCGGCGCAAAGATGTTGACACGACGACGCCACGTCGAGGTCCCGAACCTAAAAGTAGGGGGGAAAAACATGAAAACGTGCAGCTAAATGACTCGTTCCACAGCGGCAGCTGCGCCGGCGCCGCCCTCTCCTTCCCGGCAAAGCAACGCGGCCAACCCATAACACTTCACCGCTTGCGTTTGCGTACACGACCGAGAGAAAAATAATCACACCTCGCCATCGCACATGCCACGGCAATCCACAAGCACAAGCCAAGCGCCGGAGCTCTATATAAGGAGCCGGCGAGCAGGCGAAGGCCACCATCCAGATCGAATCATCGATACACAATCACAGCCTCATCATCAGCCACAAGGGATCTCGTTTGGCAGACACTTTGGTTGAGTGATTGATCGATCGACCCCTCGCCGCCGGTGACCATGATGGGGGAGGCGCTCATCTCGCCGGAGCTGCGCGACGTGCTGGCCAAGGTGGCGGTGTTCCTGCTCGTGCAGGGGCTGGTGTACCTCATCCTCACCAACTCCTCCGACGTCTTCTCCAAGAGCAAGAGGCTCCGGTCCCTCAGCTTCCGGCCCATGCGGTCCATGAGCGTGCGCCGCGTCCTGGCGCCGCTCTCCGACGTCCCCGTCGGCACCGACGACGACTCGCCCTCGCCCTCGCCTTCGCTGTTTTCGTCTTCTTCGTGGTCGTCGCGCCGCTGGGTAGCCGCAAAGAGGATTGAGCAGCTTGGAGTCAGAGCGGTTGCTTAGTTCTGACGCCAGATGGGTAGCTACTAGTACTAGCGAACATGGTAATTCTGAACTGTCCAGGGTTTGTTATCGTGGTTTGACCGTTTGAGATTTGAGAATGGTATTTGTTTAACTCTCATGTAAATCAGATTAGCTGTGGCCTTGTAGATATGTTCATTGATTTGAATCGGGATGATGAATTATTTGATTCTTTACAGTTTGTCTTCTGTATAAATTGTGAATGTGGATTGTTCGGTTCTTCATAATTTGTTTCCATTGACTTGTGCAATATAGTTCTTGATTGTTGTTTCATTTATAAATATTAACTTCTGATCAGTGCACCATGTACCTATCAATACAGAACTGAAGTATATTCAAGTGAAATCTTGCAACAGATCAATAGCATAGGCCAGCTCTGCTGTATTAAGGAGCTGAAATAAAGTTTTATTGATCGGGTTACAGTGTCCGAGGAGATCATCTCAAACCTCTATATACAGTATAATGAGTATGTAATCAGTCACTTGTACTTCTGGATCATCTCTCTAACCTCATCCATCACCAGCCACGCTTTGTGGCCTCCTATCACTTCCTCCTTCCATTCTCCATCCTTCCACAACTGGAAATTAATAAGAGCATCGCGATAAGATATTCATGATTTCAATCATAAAGGGACGAAGACGGAAGTTCAGAAATAAATGTGACGTTACCTGAATTGTGGGCATTTTCTGAAGGCAGAAGCAGAGACAAATGGGAGCCATGACAGAATCAAAATAAACTTATCAGATGATATCAGAGTCGTTGTGAACCAATCGGTACACAAATTTCCCATTCAAATTGAAGTGGCTACGCTAAGCCCAAATCTGCTGACTTACGCTTATATTCCCTCTTTTCACCACGGCCTGTGGAACTTTATTGACATCCACAAAGTAGAACCTGACTCTGCAAAAGAAACAAAACGTTGTTGCTAGTCCGAGTCAAGAGATTGCTTCTGCACATTCCACAACGACTGATTGTTGTGGATATCAAATCTCAGTGCGAAGAATCATGAAACTGTATCAACACAACACGGCACGAAACCATTTCAAGGAATTCAGACCAACCCTGGAAATTCTCCTGCTATCTTCTCCAGCTTGGGCTTGAGGTAAATGCATTTCCGGCACCAGCTGGCCATCCTGGCAAGAACACACTGAAGCCTCAGCGTCTGATCCGAGGGCTGAGGTAAATGGTTGAATACCAGAGCAACAGTACTACTACATGCTGGTTAAAATACAGAGCAGCAAGGCAGGCAGTCACGGGAAGCTGCACTGCAACTCGCATTGGTACAGGATAGTGTCGTACCAGTCGATGATGATGGGCTGGTTTTGCTCGGCGGAGGAGGCGAGCGCGGCGTCGAGCTTGTCCATGCTGTCGATCTCGCCCATCTCCACCGGCACCGACGCGTCCCAGAAGTAGGCCGCCTCCGCCCTCACCCCTCTTCCTCCCGTCCTCGCCACACGAACACCGCCTCGCCACAGCGCCCCGCCGACGGTCGAGCACGCCGCCACGGAGGACGGGACCGGGGCCGCCTGCTCCCGCGCCGAGGCGGCGCAGTAGAGGTCCCGGCAGAGCGCGCGCGGGCCCGGCGCGAGCAGCGGCATTGGCTCGATAGCTTCCCGGAGGCGGCAGCCGCTCGCGGCGTCGAGAGAGCTCGTGGATTTCCAACGGGTGGCGTGGTCTGCGCGTGGAATCGATCCAAGAACGCGAGGCTGCGAGCGGACGGCAATGGCAACCAAGCAAGCAAGGCGCGGAAGCCGAACCGGAGAGGCTTATCCGCATGACGGGACAAAAGCGTCGGCTTCTGGAGCCCACCGGACCGGGAAATATCTCCAGATCTTTTTTTGTTTGTGTTGCGTGCGAGTTGGATTGGACCTAGCTGTAAGGGCTTGACACTGTCTCCGGCCCAGAGTGACCGGTGAACATGGGCCCCGAGTCACCGCTCCCTCCAGATGGGCCAGCCCAAATCAACGTCCATATTTCCGTTCTTTCGTATTTTATTTCTTTAGATTTTCGAAATATTATAAATACATACTCCCTCTGTTTCATAATGTAGTGCATATAGGTTTTTTGACAAGTCGAGCATCATAAATTTTGACCAAATTTGTAGAGAAAAAACATTTACATCTACAATGTCAAACTTATATCATCAAATTCATCATAAGATGAAATTTCATACTTTATATGTTTGGTATTACCGTATTGCTATTGTAGATATAAATAGTTATCTCTAATAACTTGGCCAAAGTTTGACTTTAAAAATATTTACATGCTCCACATTATGGAACAGACGGAGTATATTCCAAAAAAATTGAATGTACTTCAAATAGTAAAAACTGTTCATTACGAATTTGAAAAATGTTAACACGGTGTACAAAATTAGCAAGTGTAATTTAAAGGAATGTTGATAGCATTCACAAAAAAATTGTGACATCTAAAAAATGTTCACGTGTTTCAGAAATATGTATGTGCAATTTTTTAATACATTATGCAATGTAAAAAAAATGTGATCATGTAGTTAAAACAATATTTTAGACTGTTCAAATAAATGTATGTTACGTTTTAAAAAATGTGCACAAATTTGAAAATTTTGTTTTTGACATTTAAAATATACATACTGTAAAAAAAGTTTGCATAGTTACAAAAATATTGTGTACTATGCCAAGAAAAAAATCAACGTGCATGTGAAAATGTTTATCACGTATTAAAAAATAAATTTGAATTTTAAAAAATGTTAATCATGTATTTGAAAAATGTTAAACATTTATAATTTTTATATGTACCAAAAATATACAATGTATATGCAAAAAAAATCAAAACATATTTGAAAAAAAAGTTAATCATGTATGTGAACAATGTTAAACATATATGAAAAAAATGTTCCTGCTGTATAGGAAAAATGTATAGTGCATACAAAAAAATGTAGTCATGTGCTAGAAAAAGGGGGGAAACGGAGAAAGAAACAAAGAAAACCAAAAGAAAAAAGTTATGTAAAAAAACTGAAGAAAACTGCTGCAAATAGTGAATAAAATCTATAAGAAACCACATAGAGAAAAGGACACGCATGCACTGCATATAGTGCTAGAACTCTACCTCAGGAGTAGGCGATACATAGCTCTGGCGATGCAATTGGCCCAGAGAAGGTAGGAGAGTGGGAGAGTGCACGTCGACCTAATCTCTTGCCCGGCCCACTCTTTGGCGAACAAATGGAAAATGGCAGATACGAAATCGGAAACCTGAACCCCTCCACGTCCGATTCTCCAACAAACAGCATATGTGTTGACCGCTCGACCATCTGACCCACTGGACCAAACGTATTGCTCCACCAAATGTTTGGACCACGTACTACTACCAACGTTCTCTGTGTGACAGCAAAAGGATTTAGGCGTCCCAAATTATAGAGCTCCAACATCAGTTTCGACTGCACTGCAACTGCAACTGCAAGTGTCCTTGGTCGAGCTCTAGTTTCTGTTTGTAGAGCTGTAATCGGCAGGCCATTCGTTTCTCTTTCTCTCTCTCTATACACAAATGCAGGGTGGGCATCCAACCGATCTCTTCGGGTCCGATTTGCAACGAATGGTCTGCGGCGTGACCTGATCACCCCAGAGCCACCCATTGTCGCACTGACAATGTCTCCGGCTCCTGTACTCCATCCTTTGTTACACTGCGGTTCGTGGCCGGCAACGTCGGCAGGGGCGGACCCAGGATAAAAACTGACCGGGGGCACCCAGCTATACAAAACTCTCGATAATTTTTACACATAGGCTTATATAAACGTCTATATGTCCTATATATAGACATTTTCTTGCAAGTCATAAGATATTTCATTCAAGTTCTAAAAAGAGATACTTCATCCAATCATAACACAACAAGTTATCAATAAAGTGAACATACCTTACAAAAAGACTTTAAATCCAAATAGTTCATATTTTGCAAAAGAATATTCATCTCTAACATAAATACTGTGTTCTGAAAAGAAACAACACATATTAGTATTAGCAATTTAAAATTCTAATGGAAATGGTAAACACACAAGAGGTGTAAGGTATAGGATCATTACAATACATTTCTCCCACGACGATCTTTAATCTTATGGAAACGATCAAGAATCACTTTATAAGCAATTTCGTCCAGTAGTCCATTTTCCACGAAGCAAATTAGGCTATGGCTCAAATAATCATCACCAATTTTGTTACGCAAAGCACCCTTCACAATCTTCATAACTGAAAAACATCTGTCAACATTGGCAGTGGTTACAGGGAGAGTCAACGCTAGCTTCAAAAGCCAATATACCAATGATAGGAGAGATGCTTCCTTGTATCCACCGTCGGTTTAGCCAAATCACCTATTTTGTCCAAAGCTAGAAAACATTGTATCATGGAGTGTATTATCTATGTAGAGACCAAGTTCGTGTTCAAGAGTCACCATATTTTTGTGATTAAAAATCATCAGGATAAATCTTGGCTAATTTCAGCAACATTTCCTTGTCAAAATGGCAAAGTAAATCAGTTGGGCTCAAAGCAGACCTGTTGGTGGTGATGGTGTCGTCCCTTTCTTTCTAACTGTAAAAATTCCGAGAGAAAGCATCCTAGTAGTAGCAGACTATCAAGCCAGCAGACAAGTGAGAGTAATAGAATGGTTTGCCGGATTGAATTGCATAGAAAATTCCAGAATGGTACTACAAGTTAAGCTACCGGTAGTGTGCCACACTAATCCTACAATTTATGGTTAGAACCAACAGTACATGCCTGATAGAGTACTAGTACGGATTGCATATTTTCACTTGGTTTGACAGAAAACACAAAGAAATCAAATAAAAAATAAGGACCGGAGAGATCCAGTCAAACCAAATCGAGAAGTACCTGTGTTTCTGTTTGCCTATGGCAGTTTCGGAGTTGGGATGAGATTGAGATTAATAAAGCTTGGGGATGGGCACTTGAGCAGAAGTTGCTGCTGCTGCAGACCGGACCTACGTAGACCAGCGCTCGCGCCGCGGCGGCCGGCAGGCGAGTGGGCAGCCGCAGAGCCACGATCGACCAATCCTCAAAGTGGCAGTGCGTGGTGGCTGACGGTTCACTTCTTGGTTTAATCGATTTTCTAGCTATTAGCCTATTCATTAATTGATTGATCTCCGAGAGTCGAAGAGGCAAGCAGTAGCCAATTTCTCCTCGTGTTCATCGCTTTGTTGAAGGACACGCATCTCTTCACTTTTCTCGATTTGGTTTGCTTTTTTATGGGCTTTACGGAGAAGGGCCAATGGGGAGTGGGGGCACCAGCTCTTGCGTGACCGGAGGCCTGCTGGCTGGATCGGGTGTTTAGGGCCAGTTCTTTTGGGCAATTCTCTCAGAATTGACCCTCTCCCCAGCTTCTCCCAGAATTGCCACTTAATATTTTTTTACAATTCCTAGTTAGTTAAGGTCTAATTAGCTAGGAATTGTAAAAAAATATTAAGTGGCAATTCTGGAAGAAACTGGAGAGGGGGTCAATTCTGGGAGAATTGCCCAAAAAAATTGGCCCTTATATCGGGGCGACAGGAACCCCGCTCGTCACAACGTGCGTCCGCCCCTGAACGTCGGTGACGTTGAGACGCAACTTTTGAACCGCTAGCCAGCAGCATGCATGTGCCCGGCGCCGGTGCTGCCGGCCGGCCTAGCTAGCTAGTAGCATATCTTCTAGCCCTGTACTTTTGGTACGACAAGCCTAGCTACGTCCTTGCTTAGCCGCTGCATGGCTTCACCGGCATGCCTCGCTCTCTTGCGCGGTCCCACGGCAACAACAACAATAACAGCAGATACGGCGGCAACAAAGCTACACGCCCTTGCTTGCTTCCTTGCTTCGCCCGCACTCCATGGACGGCCGGATCATGGATCTTTCATCTTTCCAGTCCGCAACTTTCATCCGATCCGTCAACTTTGGAAAAGCAAAATGCGCCTGGCTAGCAGCTGGCTCTCGGCTCCTCACTTGGCCTCATCACTTGCACTGGTGGTAAGAGGCGATCGACACGGCCGACGTGGCGCCACTGTGCTGCCTGGCCTCAACTTTCGACTAGTACAAAGCAGGCATGATTCGATCGAGATCTCCAGGAAAGAAAATCCATGCCACAGCCTAGCTAGCTAGCATCTATGCTCGTTGCTTTCGACTGGATCTATGGATAGGCGGAGCTAGCGACCGTAGCGACCAACCCAACAATGTCCATGTAGATGTAGTGCAACTTTTTTGCATGTGACCTTCATGGCAGACATGGCAAGTGTACAACTGTGCAAGTCAAAAGGAAGCTGAAAAACTCGATGCAGGCAGGTCGATGCATGGATGCTACCGTACACCGACTGACACGACCAAATCCTATATGTCGAGCCTTCAAGTGAACCAAGACCTAACCCAGCCACCT